GCTTAGCCCATGGCCTTGTCCCTCCCCTGCTTAGAAATTCCTTCATAAGTCTGATTGCAGGATAAAGCTCAAACTCCTTGGCATGGGAATTCATTGTTCTTTACTATGTAACCCTAGCTGGTTGTTCCAACTTTATATTCTGCCATAACCCCCCATCCCAGCTTGCACTTTAAGCAACCTAACAGACTCAAGTGACTTACACTGTGTCAGAAATTCTGTCTGGAATACCATCCCTCTTCTCCACTATTTAAACTCATACTTCTATTCCAGCAGAAATGTCACCTCTTCTGTGAATCCTTGACTTCTTTAAGGCAATTTAGTTGGTCTTTTTTCATCCTGCACATTTACTTTATTTTATATGGCCCTCCAGCTAGTTAGTACTCTACAATATCTAGAAGAGCCTATAAAAAAACGTAAAGCACAAAATAAATAGTTGTTGAAAGTGAATGCAAGATTATCCAAAAAGAACCTAAACAAAGCAAAGGCTACCATCATTTAATTGTCACAAATCATTTTTATTTTTCTTTTTATCTTTTACTTTAATTCTTTACTAATTATTTTTTCTTCCTTTTTCAAAGTCTTCAAATACTGAATTAGGTAGGAATATTTGTTTTATTTTTACCTGAAATAACTGAATTAGTAAACCAGAGAAAGGATAGTACATCACTTGGACACATCGAGGCTCTGGGTACATGTATGGTATGTGTGGTATCAGTCTCATAAGGGGCTCCCTGGAAATTGTGGCTTATGGTTACAATGTTGCATGCTTACTACCTTGTACCTCCCACCTGAGCCCCTCAGGCTAGAATGTGAGTCCCAAGTCACACATTTTAGTGTGTGATGTAGTGGAAAGGGAGAATGGGTCCTGGCAGGCCATGATTTTTCTCATTGGTAAAGTTGGGAGAAATACTTATTTTATTGTCAGGATTTGTGTCTGTGTGTCTCTCTCTCTACAAGAGAGATTTTTATTAAGGAATTGGCTCATGCAATTGTGAAGGCTTAGTAAGTCCAAAATCATCAGGGTAGGTTGGCAGGCTACCCAGGGAAGAGTTGCAGGAAACCCAGGGAAGAGTTGGCAGGAAACCCAGGAAAGAGTTGCAGGAAACCCAGGGAAGAGTTGGCAGGAAAACCAGGGAAGAGTCGCACTTTGGATGCACAGACATTCCACTGGCAGAATTTCTTTTTGCTTAGGGGAAGTCAGTCTTTTTTTTTTTTTTTTTAAGATGGAGTCTCGCTCTGTGGCCCAGGCTGGAGTATAGTGGTGCAATCTTGGCTCACTGCAACCTCTATCTTCCGGGTTCAAGCAATTCTCCTGCCTCAGCCTCCTGAGTACTTAGGATTACAGGTGCCTGCCACCATGCCTGGCTAATTTTTGCAGTTTTAAAAATACAGACAGTCAGCAAGTACCAGGGCAAAAGAAAAAAGAAAATGCAGATGGGGTTTTACCATGTGGGCCAGGCTGGTCTTGAACTCCTGACCTCAAGTGATCCACCTGCCTTGTCCTCCCAAAGTGAGGGAAAAATCAACTTTTTTTCTATTAAGGCCTTAAACTGATTAGATAAGGCCCACCGAAATTATGGAGGGTAATCTGCTTAAAGTCCACTGATTTAAATGTTAATCTCACCCAAAAAATACTTTCACAAAACATCTAGAATGATGTTTGACCAAATAGCTGGGCACCATGGCCTATAAAGTTGGCATATAAAATTAATCATCACATCCACCAAGGTTGTTGTCCGAGTTCAGTGTGGCAACACATGAAAGCCACATGGATGGTGCCTAGAACATGCCAGGAATTTAAACAACTTAATGGAACAAATGCTAGTTCCTTCATAACTGTGTCCTGAAAATTCACTTCCATCCAAATGTATGACAGTAGTGGTAATGCCTCCTCTGAAAACTTAATAACCACTATTCCTGTTTAACTGCTGATCATTGTTTCTGTTAGAAGTCTGTGTTAGCCCAGCATTAAGCTCATGGTCACTGACTCCTGCAAGTCCTTCCTGCAGCTCCTTCCTCATCTGCTGGGAGGGGAATCACATTAGTGGGCTAAGCTATATGTAAATTTATGTACACCCTTTATAGTTCTGCTTTCAATTCCTGTTCTAGGTTCCCCTTGACCAATTTTTTTTTTTTTTTTGAGATGGAGTTTTGCTCTTGTTATCTAGGCTGGAGTGCAATGGCGTGATCTCAGCTCACCGCAACCTCCGCCTCCTGGGTTCAGGCAATTCTCCTGCCTCAGCCTCCTGAGTAGCTGGGATTACAGGCACGTGCCACCATGCCCAGCTAATTTTTTGTATTTTTAGTAGAGACGGGGTTTCACCATGTTGACCTGGATGGTCTCGATCTCTTGACCTCGTGATCCACCTGCCTCAGCCTCCCCAAGTGCTGGGATTACAGGCTTGAGCCACCACACCCGGCCCCCTTGACCACTTTTGTCACAGAGGCCCTGATGTCTGGTAAAATGTTATGTCTAGCTATGTTAGGTCCCTTGGAAGGGTGTGATGATAATGATCTTTCTCCTCCTTTAAATTTTTCTTCCCCTTTTTCTTCTTATCTGTTCATTTCCTGATGGCCTTCCCCTTAGGCCTGGAGTATCCTGTCAGAAATATTGTATGAATTCAGAACTGATTTCTGTGTTTCGTGACACAGAATCATTTTTAGAAGGGGCCTTAGAGATCATGTAGCCTCCCCCTTAGATGTGATGGATTGACCTTGATCTAAAAGAGAGTCAGAAACTTGATAGAGCTTGAATAGGATGGTGGTTAAAGGCATAGCTTTTACTTCTGGGTGTGGCGGTTCCTAGCATTTTGAGAGGCCAGGAGGTTCACTTGAGGCCAGGAGCTAGAGACCAGGTTGGGCAACATAGTGAGACGCTCTCTCTACAAAAAATAAAAAACAACAACAAACCCCAAAGCGTATCTTTTAGAGAGGCAAACAGATTTGAGAGAAAATTCTATTTCTGCCGCTACCTGAGTAAGTTACTCAAAGGCAGCCCCTATTTTCATAATCAGCAAAATGGGGATAATTGTATTACCTATCCCGTAAGTTTGTTGTAAAAAGAGGTGGTATGTGTAAAGTGCTTATTTAGCACAGTGCATTACACTTAGTAAACAATAAATGATAAACATTTTTATGGTGCTCGCTTTGGCAGCACATATACAGAGAAGATTAGCATAGCCCCTGTGTAAGGATGACACGCAAATTTGTGAAGCGTTCCATATTGTTTTATAAATTAAATATTAAAAAAACAACATTTTTATCTTGCAGTTTCCTAATGTACGTGGCTTTAATTAACCCCTTCACTTTTTTTTTAAATCAATAAGATTAATATAATCAGTACTTTAGTAAATTTTTGGCATAGGAATTCACTTTTTTCTTGCTCAAAATTAATCTTTTTACACAAGATTCTGTACATAAAAAGATACATGAAACTATTTCTGTTTTTCTTTCTATGCTATTTTAAGTGTTAAGAAAGTATTGGGAAATATGGTAATGAATTTACCCTTTTAGGTTTTTGGAAGTACTTTCTTTTTATAATAATAAAAATCTAACACTGTCTTTCTGATGGCTGTGTTTTTTATTTCTTACTAGCTAATGCTAAAATCTAATTTCAATAAAAATTAACTTTAGGTTTTTCACTATCTTGTTTATATTCCTCTGTCAGCATATTGCAGGGACTTTGTGCTTTAGAGAATTTAGACTTTTAAAACATTTTCCAAGTTTGGGTTCTTGGATCAGCCCTGCCACTAACTCACATCATACTCTTGGGCAAGTTGCTTAACCTTTAGATAATTGTACTCATCTGTAACATAGATGGATTGGATCTACTGATTTCTGATACACCTATAATTCTGTTCACTGAGTGCCTCCTGTTTATAGGGCACTGCATTAGGAGCAGTGGGAATGTGGGTACAAGTTCTGTTTTTTGCTATAACATTTATTGCTTTTGGTGAATTGGACCTAAACAACTTTTCCATCTTGACTTTGAAAAAGACACAGACCCATAACATATAAAGTGTTTTTAAATTAAAAAGTAATCAACTCTTCAATTGATACAATATTTATAACATTGCATAGTTGGTATATATTATAATATAATAGAACTTTGTGTTTGTGATTGGAAAGTTTGCTTGGTTGTGGGGTCTATTGGAGAAGAAAGGAGAATCATAGGTAAGGAAAAACATACCTCGATGGTAGATCTTATGGGTCTTCATTCCTAGTGCCTTGCATGGTACTTAGCTTTTTTTTTTTCTTGTGGTTCTGAGAGGATATGGTACTTCTTAATAAAGATATTTTGAATTGAAAAAATTGACCATAAATTAAAATGAATAGGGAGTAAGAGATGAGAGTAAAATGACATATATAATGTAAATGTGTCTAATGCATTATTAATAATATACTACCATTTATTGAAAGCTTCAAATACCCTAAATATTATCCTAAGTACTAATAGACATTCATTTATTTGATCCCTATTAATGTCCTGTGAGGTAGATGCTATTATTCCATTTCGTAGGTAAGAGAACTGTCTTTTTTGTTTGTTTTTGGATAGGATCTTGCTCTGTCACCCAGGCTGGAGTGCAGTGGTGCGATCATAGCTCACGAAAACCTTGAATCTCTGGGCTCAAGTGATCCTCCCACGTCAACCTCCTGGGTAGCTGGGACTACACATGTACATCACAATGCCTGGCTAATTTTTTTAATCTTTTTGTAGAGATGGAATCTCATTATGTTGCCCAGGCTGGTCTTGAACTCTTGTTCTCAAGCAGTCCTCCTGCCTTGGTCTCCCAAAGTGCTAGGATTACAGGCATGAACCATCAAACTCGGCAAGCAAGAGAACTATCATACAGAGAGGTTAAATTATTATACTGAGCTATACTGCTTATCTGTACCATTTTGGTTTTTTTTGAAATTAAACTCTGATAAATTTCTAGTTCTGAAATGAATGTCATTAACTTGTTTGTATTATCCAGGATAGGTTAGGTTTTGCTGCTGTAGTAAAATTTATGAATTTTAGTCTCTTAACCTAACAAAATGTATGTCTCTTACTGTCATAAACTTCCAATTGAATGAGCAGGGAGCTGTGCTCATTATGTTCACTGAGAGACTGAGTGGTTGATGGGTTTTCCTTTTTAGCATATCTTTTAATAATCACTTATCTGTGGAAAAAGAACATGGAAGGTCGCATGTAAATGCTCCAAAATGGAAATTACTTATGTCACTTCCTCTCACAATTCCTTAGCCAGAACTGTTTAAAGCACTGTACCCAATCACAGGATAGGGAGACAAAAGTATTGGCTTTGTAGTGCCTAGACAGAGAGATAGCACTAATGACTACCATACTCAATCAGTCAGCCACCCACCCACCTACTCATGCTGATCCAGTACCTTTTATATGTCAGGCACTGGGCTAAGTCCTGGCCACGAAGAGATGACTATATCCTGATGGAGCTCAAATTGTACTTGTTGATCATTCCAATTGCATATACTCAAACTTGTATCTAAACAACATGGAAAAGCTCTGAAAATTGTGTAATGTCTTGGCATTCATCTGACTCCAACTCATGGATTGCTTCAAGAAACAGCCCTGAAGTGAGGCAAATTTTAAAAATATTTTCTTGCTTATTAACTTGTCATCATTATAATAGTGTACTGACCTGTTGTGTATATACAGTAAAGCACATGATAAAGAGGAACTTATTTATTAATACCATTGTTCAGTAATTAAAAATAATTGTTTTGCCTATTTTTATTATAATAGAAACAAAATTGATTTAGAGATTTTTATAATCTCAAGTGTGCTTTGATGAGTGGTGAATAATTGTTAATAAAAAGGATAGTTCTGTATTGAAAATTTTTATTATCTATTTAAAAATATGTTTGTAACGGGAGAATTTAAAAATTTTTCTGATTTGCAATTTAAAAAATCCTAGGTATTGTTTATGAGAAGTGAATGAACATTTATTGATGATCTACTCTGAGCTCAATATTATGCTAAACTCTTTACATCTCTAATTATTATTAACGTAATCGCTTTTTAAAATAGATGTTTTAATTGAATCTGATAGAGGTTAAGTGTCTTAAGCTATTAAAGGACAATATTGTGAGTCACATTTTAATCTGTTGCTTTCAAGATCTATGATCTTTCATTGATATCATGATGCCTCTGTAATCTAAGCAGTGGTAACAAAACTGATGACTCTGTGTCCACCTGTTAGTTCATATTCAGCCTTTACAACAATCCTGTGAGGTACATATCCCATTTTTAGAAGTGAAACTACTGAAGTTCAGAAATATTGAAGAAACATCCAAAATATCCCATTTATAAATATCCTGGGTTTTTAGTTCCAAATTGTAAATAATTTGAGGAATGTCTATAAAATGGAATATTATTAGCCCTAAAAATTATGGTCTTGAAGTATTCTGACAATGTGAGAAAATGTTTATGCATTAATAATAATTAAAGTAGGCAAGATAGCAAACGAAATGTTCAGTGTGTGTCTAAATTCATTTACCTAATTTTTTATTAGGTGAATACTATTGAAGTATTGAAATGTGAGATTATAAAATTAACACAAGACAAAAGTATGCCAAACTGCAGGGTCTTTATTGCCAGATACCACGGAGGACTCATGTCTCTCCAACCCGTGGCCCCGAAAAGAGGGTGACAAGACTCTTTTATACTCGTAAACCACCTCCGGGGGTGGTGGTGAAGGGATTCAGACATTCTGAGGGCTAGTGGATTCTGCAAATCACCTTCTGGGCGGAGATAAGGGTGAGGGGCGGGGGTGGTGGTGAAGGGATTCAGACATTCTGAGGGCTAGTGGATTCTGCAAATCACCTTCTGGGCGGAGATAAGGGTGAGGGGCGGGGATGGGGGTGAGGGGATTCCGGACATTCCGAGGGCCAGGGGACTATTTGACATTCTGATTGTTACTTATGTGGTTCACAAAAGCTAAGATTAGCATTCGTTTACATATTGTCTGGGTAGGGTGGCGATCACAGTCCTTAATTACTTATTCACATTTGGGTTATAGATAGCAGTTTCAACAGAAAGCTGAGGTATGGTTGAGGTATGCAGTTTTATGGGGCTTTTTACCATGTCACACTATATTTGAGGCAATGGGGAAAGAGCATTCTAGGCATGGGGAAAAACGTTCTAGGCACAGGGAATGTCTAGGCAGGGAAGATCAAGTGCAGAAACCCTGAGGTAGGTGTGTTGCCAGTGGGAGGAACTATAAGGAGGATGGTATGTCTGGAAGGACATTCCCAAGGGAATGAGTAATAGAGGAGGACAGAAAGGAGGTTCAGGAAACCAGATAACGTGGGGACAACTGGGCCATTAAGAATTTGGCCATAAATCAGAATGGGATGAGAAGGCTTTGGAGCTTTAGGTGCAGAAGAGTGACATACTCTGATTAATAAGTGTTAAACACTTTGGCTATCGTATTGAGAATAGACTATGGAAGGGAAAGGGGGAAAAAAGAAAGACCAGGTTGTTGCAAAAGTTCACGTTGGAGACGATGGTGGCTTCGATTAGTGAGGTAGTGGTGGAGGTTGAGAAGTACTCAGATACTGGATATTTCTGAAGGTGTAGCTGAGAGGTATAATAAATGAATTAGATGCAGGTGTGAGATAAAGAGTTGAGGATGACAATAACACTTTCTTGTGCTTGGATGGAAGAAGGAAAAAAAAGAAAATAAGTTAAAAAAAAAGAAAAAAGAAAAATAGTTGAGGTTGACTCTAAGGTTTTTGGCCTGAGCAGTTAGAAGGTTGGAGTTGTCATTTACTAAGATGGGGAAAGCTACAGAAGTAGGTTTGGGGAAGGAAGGAGATGAGGAACTTGGAACTTGGTTATAGTAATGGTATTGAATCAAGAATTTAGAAGAAAGTGGGCAAGTAATACAGATTCGAAGCTGACAGTGTACAGATGGTATGTATAAAACCATGAGATTGAAAGAGAGCAACAAAGGAGTTAGTGAAGATAGTCTTTTCTTTTAAAGATGATCTTCTCAACACTGCATATTTAGAAGTCAGGGAAATGAGGAACCAGTTAAGGAGACTGAGAAGGAACAGCTGGAGGAGGAAAACCAGGAGGATGTGATGGCCTGACCACTTAATGAAGAAAGCATTTCAAGAAGATAAGCAACAGTGCCTAAAAAATGACTAGGAATCGGCCATTTGATTAGCAATGTGGAGGTTATGGTGACTTTGACAGCAATTTTTGTGGAGGGTGGGTGGAGGCAAAAGCCTCGTTGGAGTGGATGCAAGAGAATGGGAGAAGCTGAACTGAGACCATGAGCGTGGTAATCTGAGCAATTTTGCTGTGAAGGGGAGCAGAAATATGATATGGTAGAGGGAGGGGAAGAGGGTTCCCATTTTTAAGATGGGAGAAATAATTGTATGCTAAGGGAAATGAGCCAAGAGAATGAGAAGGTGATGGAACAAGAAAGAAGTAGGATTGCTAGTGGGATATCTTAGGCAAGAGGGAATGGGATCTAGTGAAAAAACAAGAGCATGAACTTGACTGTAGTAATACGGTGTAGGCACGTCACATAGGCACAGATGAAGGTGAGAGGTGGTATGGTAGTGAGAGCTTGTGTGCTGTTTTTCAGAATGCTTCTTTTTTCTCAGTGAAATAAGATGGAAGGTCATCAGTCGAGAATGAGAAAGGGAGAGAACAGAAATGTTCCTCTAGCAGAGAAGGAAAGTAAATGCACTAGGGATGTAGAGTTTAATTGCAGGGTGGCTTTTAGATCTCATATAAGTTAGTAAGCCATTTGATGTGGCTGTATGTTTCTCTAGCTACACTCAGTTCCTTGGGTATGGTTGTGGAGTTGGTGGATTGCCCTTTTGCCAAGTGAGAACAACAAGGTAAGAGAGGCCTGGGTAGTGAGAATTGTATGCAATGGAGTTATTGCAGCCCCTTGTTGCAGCTATTACCGCCTCCCGTGACTATTAGAAGAGTAGACCAGTGGTCCTCGGCGCTTCCTGCAGTTCCTCCTCCAGTGCAGCTTCCATGGGTTGTCACACAAATCACCTCTCCTCTAGTTGAATCACTGTTCTGTTCAGAAACTGCAACAACTCTTTATTGTTTGCTTTATTGAGAACAAAATCCGGTAACGTTTAAGGCCTTTCAGTCTATAGCCCTAACTGCCTTTCCATTTTGCTAATCTATTCAGCACATATGCCCATTCCTTTCCTGTCTCTATGCGTTAGTCCACATTGTTCCCTTTGCCTGGAACCTCTCTCTCCCTCGGGCCTAACCTCTTTTTATCAATCCCACCCAATTTTTTAACCCCCATCTCTAACACTTCCTCCTCTAGGAACTGTTTTTTTCCTGCTGTTTCTGCAGCTTCCTCTGCTGCTTCTGCCTCTGCCTCTCCTTCTGTCTCTGCCTCCTCCAGGAGCTGTCCTCTTCCTCCTCCTCCTTCTTCTCTCTTCCTCTTCATTGTTTCTTTTCTTCTTCCTCTTCGGTCTCCGCCTTCCTCCTTTCTCCTTCCCTCCTACTCTTCCTTCACCTCTTCCTCCTCCTTCCATTTTTTTTTTTGAGAGAGTCTTGCTCTGTCACTCTGGCTGGAGTGCAGTGGTGTGATCATAGCTTACTGCAGCCTTGGCCTCAAATTCCTGGGTTTGGGTGACCCTCCTGCCTCAGGCTCTTGAGTAGCTGAGACTATAGGCATATGCCACCATGCCTGGCTAATTTTTTTTTTTTTTTTTAAAGAAATGAGGTCTTTGCTATGTTGCCCAGGCTGGTCTTAAACTTTGGCCTCAAGTGATCTTTCCACCTCTAACTCACAAAGTGTTGGGATTACAGGTGGGAGCCACTGCACCCAGCCCATTTTTAAATCTCCTGGACAGTATGTGATTTGTCAAATCTTTTTTTGTACTTTTATGGCATATGTCTTATTCTAGCCTTGTGTTATATATAATCTTTTACACTCCTCTCTTATTCTACATTTAAAGTAGGAATCCTGTCTTATAAACATCCATACTTTTCTATAGCACATGTGACATTGTTTTTCCTAGAGTATGGTTTTCACAAATCTGGTGAAACTATATCTTTTCCCCTCCTTCTCTCCAATTTTTCTACACCCTGAGGTAAGGAAGGAGTGTGTATATGGAGGAGGGGGAAGGGTAAGGAAACTTGGATTTCAGCTGTCTCACATTCTTTGGCGAGCATGACAGAATGTCAGATAAAGACTGACCTGCCTGTTTTAATTTTCTTATTTTGGTGTCCTGGAAGCTGTGGCTAGAAGTTTGTGCTTTTCCTTCTTTCAGCATATCTACAGAGAAAGGATTATGGGAGGGAATGCTGCATTTCTTGTTTTTTCTTTGTTTCGTTTATGGGCAACGGCTGAGATGAAGAATGAACACAAGGAAAATGTCTCCTTAAAGGCTACTTCTGTGGTAATTGTGTACCACCTGTATTTATTACTAGAGTGTTAAAGTAAACTTTTCATGATTTTTGTTTTTCATTGTGGAAAGTCGGTTAACTATGTATATTTGTGATTTTGGTTTTTCAAGTGGAAGTCGGTTAACTATGTATATTTGTAAATCCTTACTTTCTATGGCATACATGTTAGTTCAAG